GAGAAAATAAAATAATATTTTAAAAAATTAAAATGCTAGGTTATAGGCTGTCAGTTTGCTTATATTTTTAACTGAAAAAGGAACATGACCCCTTAAAAAGAATTAAGCTCTTTCAGGAGCTAATTAGTATTTATAGAAAGCCAATCCTGTGTATGCTGTTTAATAAAATATTAGGAGGCAGTGGAATCTTATAACAAGTCAGTAGTTAAGGAAGTGACTATGAAACTCCTGGGCTAGGAAGCAGGGCAGGCATGCAAAGGGGTTTTTAAAGAATACATAGTATTTCTGGTTTTGCAGAGGTATATAGCTATTACAGGGCAGCTAGATGGCACAGTGGATAGAGTGGATAGATATTTACTAGCTGTGAACCTGGGCAAGTTACTAATCCCTGTTGGCCTCACTATCCTCATTTGTAAAATGACAGTGAAAAGGAAATGGTAAACTACTATAGTATCTCTGCCAAGAAAATCCCAAATGGGGTCATGAAGAATCAGACACAACTAAAAACAAATAAAACAACAACAAATATAGCTATCACGTTAACACAATATGGTGTTGATGGAGGGAAATGCTTTTGGTCAGAGGTATACAAGTAGGGGGAAGTTTTGATTATAATGTATAGTAAATTAGTTCTACAGAAGTCTGGGAGGAAGTAATAAGCAATGACCAAGAAATGAACTCAACAAGCACCCTAAGCATCTATTACATGCAATGTGTTAATGCTAGAGATACAAAGACAAAACTGAAATAATCCCTACTACTTTAGAGAACAGTTAAAGCTCAGTGAATTTTAGTATTTCTCAATATTCAGACAAAACTATTTTAGATATATCTAGTACAATACAGCAGGGGAAATATGCCACAATCTACAAGTGTTCTTTAATAATGCCTAAGGGACTTCAGGTAATATAGTGACATGATAGATCACACAAGAGCCCCATTCTCCCACTTTTATTCCAGCAATACGCTAGAAAGTAAAAAATGACCAAGAAATACAAAAAGAAATATCAATAAGTATTTTTATACAGCCCAGGACCGTACAAAAACATAGTCAGTAGTTGTAGACACTAGAAGAAGAGCCCTGCCAAAGAAGTCAGCACAAGTGGTAATCTGACTAGAAACCCAATGAACTAACCTTCAATAGGGAAGCCCATATCAGCACCATGACCAAGTAAAGATCACACAACACCTTGCCTGGGAAAACTCCAGGGAGAAATGAAAAACTAACTAGTACCCTGATCAGAGGAGCAAAAGAGGGAACAGAAAGTATCTACTGCCCTGCTCCAGGATGCCCCAAGAGAAAGATGGAAAATCATCTAGTTCCCAGGTCAGGGAGAGCTAGCTACAAAGCTTTGCCTAGAAATGCTAAAGCCTGTTAACATTCTAAGAACAGACACACCAAGGGAAATGTAAACCAATGGTAAGAACCCAGGAAACTGAGGCCAGGCCCAAAAAGGGTGTAACCACCTCAATCCAAAAATGCAGGACTTGACTGAGCCTGGCTCTGGAGCAAAGTCCCAAATAAAGAACTACGGCTAAAGATGTATTAGTATACAAAAGAATCTATTAAACACTACAAAGAAAGATTATGGGTTAACAAACTGTCCAAAAGAAAGGAGTAACATCACAACAAGCAGAGCCTCTGAGAAAAAATGGATTATTCACTGGACCAAAGGAATACCGGGAAGAAAGAAAGCAAAAGATAAAAGAATGAAATTATCTATTAAATAAGAAATATGCAAGAATTTAAAAGAGAATATTTTAGAACCAAAAGAGGTAAACCTTACTGAAGAAACAGATGTTCTTACAATCAGAATGCCCCAAACATAAATCAATAATTCCATAAAACAATAATAAACATGGCAATAAAATTAAAAGATTGAAAAAGCTGAAGAAAACATAAGGTAAATGTAAGAAATGGTCTAGTAAACTGATCAAGGAGAGATAATCTAGTAATCATCAGACTACCTAAAACCATAACCAAAAAAAGGCCTAGATACCATATTTCAAAAAAAAAAAAAAAAAAAAAGTCAAAGGAAAAGGAAAAATACCAAAAAAATCCACCAATTACTCCTTGAAAGAAAGCCTAAGTGAAAACTCCCTGAAATGTCAGAACCAAAACACAAGTTCCCAATTCAAGCAGAAATTCATGCAGTCAGAAAGAAAGAATTTAAGTACCAAAAAAACAGGACTGATGGGGTATGGGCCCAAGTTGATATCTTTGTCCCTCACCCCAAAAAGATTTTGGGTCCCATTTATCTAGGCCTGAGAAAACCTCTGAACTCTATCTGAACCTTTACCAGGTCAAAAACCCCTAAAGTCATTCTTATTCTCCTTATCATCACCTGGGCCCCATCTCCTAGTTCTTTGATACCCTAATTCCCTGAGTTCCCATCCTGACCTTATCCAGACCCCATTTAACCACTTCCTTATCTTCTAGGCCCTATCTTCCAGTTCTTTGTTACCCTAATAAAACCTAGCCCTCCACTGTCTATCCCGAATGAGAATGACCCATTCAACCTCCCAAGCACACCCATGAGGATTCTCCCAGGATTCTTCTGCCTCAGTTACTCCAGCTTCAAGATCCTCCTCCCAGCCGGTTCTCCTGTCACAAACTACTTGGCTGTATCTAAGATCCATCCTGGCCACCTTTTACGGGTTGAGACTTCCTCATGCCCACTAGTCCTTACAAGTGCCACAAATGTTCAGATTCCTTAAGAGTCTGGCCTGTATGGTTCATCTTTAATAAACCTTGTCTTCGGATGAAAGAAGACTTGGGTCAAATTCTTTTGGACAGGATTTGTGTGTCATGATTTTGGGGTCCCAGGACCCCTAGCATCTAAACCTCAACAAGCATCACACAAAAGCTGGCAGCTACCACTATGAAGGAGATCTTAGAATACAGTACACCAGGCAAAAAATAAAGATCTACAACCAAGAAAACTCACTCTGAAAAACTGAGAATAATGGGGGGCAGGGGGAGAAAACTGACCTTTAATAGAAAAGCGAGCTTTGCAAGTATTTGAGATGAATAGAATGGAACTGAGGAGAAATTTTCAAATGTAAACACAGGAGTTAGGAAAAAAACTACAAAGGAAATATATTTTGGCAAATGGAAGGGGCTAAATGATGATGAAGTACTGATGTTCTAAGAAGGACAGAAGAATCAAGTTTCCCTTAAGAACTTTAACATGAGGCTAAAGGCAATTAAATAAGACAAATGAGGACCTGGGGATGGATCTGTCTTGTTTTGATAGTCAAAAGAGAAGAAAGAAAAGGGAAAGACTATATCGGGATATAAAGAAAGGAAAAAGGACGGCCTGGAAAGGTACAATTTATTTTTTATAATTGTGTGTAAGAAAAGAATGGAGGAATGGGCGAGGAGAGAGGGTACCATATGGACCTCACTCTTACCTAAAACAGGAACAAAAGAGTCAGGCACAAAGAATGTGATGATGTAGAAATACACTACAGGTGGCAAAAGGGGTGAGGGGAGAGGGAACTGAAGAAGAAGGATAGTATCAGGGAGGGGACTAATCAAAGCAAAACAAATTTCAACTTGAGAGAGGACATCATGTAATAAGTAAAAGGAAAAAAACAAGGGAAAGAACTAATGATTATGGCCAAGAAAAGAAGAGGGGGCAGTGTAGCAAAAGCAGAACAATTCAATTAATGGTCACGAACAGTGATGACAATCCTTTTTTTTCACCAATGGCTTCTCCTTTGTCGTGGGTGGGGGGAGGAGGGTAGGAAAGGGTAAAGAGAATAAAGTTCAAGAGGACAGAATGAAGGTAAATAAACAATTAATCATAATTTCCATGAACATAAATGAGATGAACTCACTCATAAAACAGAAGAATAGCAAAATGGATTAGAAGGCAAGAGTATAATAACATTTTGTCTACCAGAAACTCTTGAAATATAAAAGTTTACAAAGAGTTAAAATATGGGACTGGAGCAGACTTTATTATATCTTAAGTGAACTTAAAAAAAAAAACTTACAACTTACAAGCCTAGCAACTATAAGCTCAGACAAAGAAACAGTAAAAATGGACATAGATAAAAGAGATAAACAGGGATACTACACCATACTTAAAGGCACCATATGCTATGAAATAATATCAATGCTTAACACACATGAACTGAATGACATAGAAATCTAAGATCCCTGAGGTGGGAGTTCACTGACATGGAACACAATGTATAAATGGCATGTTCTCTGATTTTGCTGAGCTTCTGTTTTTCTTCCAAAAAAGGAATTTTTAAAAAAAATTTTTAAAGAACTGTTATAATAAATGGCTCTCTAGGAGAAAGGAAAAGAAGTGATACAGGGGAAATAGGTGATGAATAAACACAAAAATCTATTAAAAGTGAACTATAAAATTAAAAGATGATGTAAAAACAAAAGACAACAATTACAAACTCAAAAGAAAACAAAAAGCAAAGGTGTTTGTTTTTTAAAGCACAATGTTGGGACCCTTTCACCAAGCAATATCACTACTAGGTCTGTACTCCAAAGAGATAAAAAACAAAAAGGAAAAGGACCTATATGTACAAAAATATTTATAGTAGCTCTTTTAGTGGTGGCAAAGAATTGGAAATTGAGGGGATGCCCATCCCCATCAATTGGGGAATGGCTAAACAAGCTGTTGTATATGATTGTGATAGAATACTACTGTGTTATAAAAAAAAGCTGGGAAGACTATGTGAGCAGAACCAGGAGAACACTGTACACAGTAACAGCAATATTGTATGATGATCTACTGCGAATAACTTAGCTGTTCTCAGCAATATAATAATTCAAGACAATTCTGAAGGATTAACGATGAAAGGTGCTGTCCATCTTTAGAGAAAGAACCGGAGAAGCCTGAATGCAGATCAAAGGTACTTTTTCTTTATTTTTATTGGGAGTTTTTTGTCTGTGTCTTATTCACAGCATGACTTACATGGAAATGTGTTTTGCATGATTACACGTGTATAAGCTATGTCAAACTGCCTTCTCAATGGCAGGAAGGAAGCGGCTGAACAAAAGGGAGGAAAAGAATGTGGAAGTCAAAATTTGAAAAAATGAATGTTAAAATTGTTTTTACATGTAATTGGGAAAAAATAAAATATTAGATTAAAAAATAAAATAGCACAGAAAAAAATAAAACGAAGAAAGAACAATGCTAGGGCTCAAGGAAATAGAAAGGGAAGATAAATTCTACAACTACAAATTCATATCACAACTAAGTGATGAATAAAAAAAAAGACACAAAGGCATGAAGGAAGGTCAAGAAAGTTTGTTTCAGCAAATGATTCTCCAAATTATTAATTCTATAGACCATACTGACAGCAATTCCATTGACCACCAAACAATCTGCTCCTTCCTTGCCATCCAAGAAAATAAAAACAAAACACCCATATCCCAGATGCTGTTTTTAATTAAGTTAGGAGTGGGGCGATGTCTAAATTATGTAAATTATTTATTAGACTTATGATCATGTTTCTTGATGACTTAAGTATAATAAGAACAAGACAGGAGATAATATAAGAAAACGGAGAGGGCGGAGCCAAGATGGCGGAGGGAAAGCAGTGACTGTCTTGAGCTCTCTCCCAAAGCCCTCCAAATACC